AAACCTGACAAATGAGTTGTGTGTAATAATGCAACGACAGCAGGAGAAAGTGCTGAACTACTGACGTGTTTAATACTTTATATAAAAGGCTGACAGCTTAAAGATGCCTCTCATATGGAGAATGACGCCTCATGCATTGCTCAGGTGTGAGTTTCTCACAGATTTCAACAGAGTGTCTAAATCTTGATGCTTCTGTGGGTCTCGTCTATCAAATCTGAGCTTTATTCTGTATTTTCTATTGGATTGGGGTCAGGTGATTGGCTGGGCCATTCTGCAGCTTGTTTTTCTTTCTCTGAAAGCACCTGAGAGTCTCCTTGGCTGTGTTTTGGATCATTGTCTTGCTGAAATGTCCACCCTGGTTTCATCTTCATCCTCCTGCTGATGTAGATGTTGGACTGAAGCAGCTGATGTTCATTTACACTGAGGAAGGGCAGAGGGTTACTGAAGAACTACTGAGAGATTTCAGCTGCTGTCTGGGCTTTCACTGCCCAGCTACACCTCCCTTTCTTCATGTGTTCAATACTTTTACATAATTTCATTTTATTAAGCATACAACTTCTTTATTTTTGCATATATGGATTTATTTGGTTTGATTTTAAGTCAACGAAGCCTTTATGTGAAAAATGGTGACATGTTCAATACTTATTTCCCCACATTGTGTGTGTGTGTGTGTGTGTGTCTATATATATATATAAATATATATATATATATATATATATATATATTATATATATATAATATATATATACAGTATATATATTATATATATATATAATATATATATATATATATATATATATATATATATATATATATATTTATTTATATATAATATATTATATATATATTTATATATATATATATTATATATATATTATATATATATATATATATATATATATATATATATATATATATATATATATATAAATATAAAAAAAATCCTGAAAATCCTGTATATATAATATATAGTTTTAATCTTTCTACGAAAATTGGAAGTAACATCAACACAGCTGATCTCAAATGTGGTATAATTTCTTATAATTCATATGCTTTTGCTTGCAAATCATCTTAAAATTAATATAAAAATTGCCTCATTCCCTTTCTTTCCATTAAAGCCGCGCATTGTTGCCCATAATGCAATTCACAACTGTAATTAAGCATAAACCCAAAATACGGAAACTGTTCATTAACACTATTCACAGACCATATCAATGTGCCCATGTCATTGGTCCATGAACATTTCCTGCTTGTTGTTTCCTAACTGCAACAACAGGCGATTCAGTCATAACTTGACGTTAAAACAGCTGTCATAACATTATTTATTAATATGTGGACATTTTTGGATTCTCGGAAGCTATGGAAATTAAATATGTAAAACAGGAGATATGTTAGGACCATTGTTATTGTTTACATCCCTGAAAATGGTCTATAGTGACTCCTGTTATCAAACTGAAAATCCTGTATTTTTACATCCCAAAACAGGTATGCATTAAACAGTATGGAAGATATAATGCTACTCCGAACATGTTTGTCTGACAGAAAAAAAAGTCATATACACAAAGGATAGCTTTAGGGTGAACTAATTATGAGGTTGTTTTCATTTTTGTGTATATATATATATATATATATATATATATATATATATATATATATATATATATATATATATATATATATATATACACGTCATTAATATACAAAGCACAGACATTATATTGTCAAAACAAACTTTGATTTTTAATCCAATTAATTTCTTTTTTTTTTTTGCCCAGTACTCAAATTTAATATATTTTTGGTTACAACCAGTTTTTATGATGCATTTTTGTACTTTTTTCTTAATTAGACATTAATAATGTTCATCAGAAATGCTTTATAGGATTGTAGTTCTTTCCCTCATTAAAGCCATTCACAGTCTTGTGTCTTTGTCTTTTTGTTGGATTTCTGAACAGTATTAGGAATTGTCAAATATTATGCTTTAGGAAATATGTTTTATGTTAACATACAAGCATTAAAAATACTAATTCATTATAGGTATTTAAAATTTGTCATTTTTACTGTTGATTATCAGTCGGTATTAACCCTTTACATAGGCCTGTGTGGGGGGGTAAGCCGGTGTCCTGCACAGTTTAGCTCCAACTCTAATCAAACACACCTGCTTACTGACACTAATTAGCGTGTTCAGGTGTGTTTGACTAGTGTTGGAGCTTCCAAACAGGGAAACCCAGCAGCAGTCAAGAATGCATGATCATATGCCGTCATGGCTGGCTTTTGCTATCAATAAATGTGATTATAATGGAGGTCAGTGGGGTCAAAACAGCCACCAACATCCCCAAAGGGGAGTCAATTTGCCCAAAGTATATTGTTTTCCAAAGTATTTTCCCAAAATATGTGTTAAAATAAGATTTATGTCAAAAATGACTCTATTTGCTAAAACAAAGTCAAATTAAGCCTCAAAATCAGCCTTGAGTGGATGAAAACAACCCAACAGCACATAAAGGTAAATGATGACATTTTATAGTTTACATCTATTTGTTGGGACATTGTGTTATTCATACATAATGATTTTTTATGAAGTTTATAGTATTTTGATTCATTGTACATTTCTCCGTCAGACATTTCAGTGGTGAACTTTCCCTTTAAAGTTTCAGCCAGTGCCCGGATGTTGGGCAGTGGAGCGCGCCTCTGGCTCTTGTGGCGCAGTGACGTCACTCGCAGCGCTTTCTGAAACTTGCCTTCACACGTCACAGGCAGGACAACTGGCCCAAATATACTTCAGTCTGCAGAGCTCCAGGCCAACAGACGCCGGACAATGCGAACTCCAGCCCGCATCCCGCTCCCAGCGCCAGCCCGCGCCTGAGAGGCCGTGTGGAGAGCAGCATGAAGCGGAAAAGCGAGCGTCGGTGCGGCTCGAGGAAGAGAATCTGCGCGTCTCTGCGGGACCGCAGCGACATACAGCTCCACATCACAGGTAAACAACCGCCGTGAACGCGCTTTACCACGGTAAACTTACACACAAGAGGTCACCTCACCCACTGAGCGCTGTTTGTGCAGATCTAACAGCTCTGATAAAACCAGAGAGCGCTTCTTTGTTCTGTTCGGTTGATGTAGATCACTAATAGAGGATCAGTGTTTGGTCACAGTGAGCTGATATTCAATTGGTTGATGTAAATTACTAATAGAAGATGAAAGTGTTCGGTCCGAGCGAGCTGACATTCTATTGGTTGATGCAAATTACTGATAGAAGATCAGAAAGTGTTCCGTCCGAGCGAAGCTCTGTTCTATTGGTTGATGTAAATTACCAATAGAGGATCAAAGTGTTCGGTTTGAGCGAGCTGATATTCTATTGGATGATGTAAGTTACTAATGGAAGATCAAAGTGTTCGGTCCGAGAAAACTGATATTCTATTGGTTCCGTTCAGTTTATGTAAATCACTTAATAGAGGATCAAAGTATTCGGTCCGAGTGAGCTGATATTCTATTGGATGATCTGCGCTTCGCTCCTAGCAACGGCTTGGGCAGCGTGCCAATTAGAAGCGAAGGCTCCCTGCTGCTGGATTTAAATTCTGAAGGGCGAGGCTTGGTTTTGATTGACACGTCAGTGAGGGCTGTGTGAGCCAATCAGGTGCTGTATCGCGTTGGCTTTATGCTGCTTTTAAGTTCTGATGGGCGGGGCTTGGTGTGATTGACACGTCAGTGGGGGCTGTGTGAGCCAATCAGGTGCTGCGTCGCCTTGGCTTTAAACTGCTGAACTTTACTCAGACTTAAGAAACGGCGGAGAGAGACGTGGAGCTCGCACTGCTGAATTACTGGCTTATTTTTTTTTTATAAACAAAAAGTTAGTTGTTATTTTGAGTAATACGCAGGATATTTAGTTTTCCCCGGTGGATGTGCTTTAGAGTACTGCTCTTTGTTTTTAGTTGAAGCGAGATTTACGTTAATAATGAATCAAAATGGCGTTACGCTAGACCTGCAGCCAAACTGCATCGAGTTCATTAAAGGTGGGAATTTCTCTCGCGTGTCTTTGTTTTCGTCGTAATCTCCTCATGTTTGTGTATTTAGTGGGTTTGTCTCGTATACATCTCACTTCCGGGACGCGGATTCAAATCTGCTGGACCAATAGATGCAGCCGTGTGTGTTTACATCTCCCTGTGATCTACATCCTCATCTTGTGTCCGTGTTGTGTGTTTCAGATCAGCTGTATTTTGCTCTTCTTCATCAGAAAGTGAGGAGCACTCCTGACAGACACTGTTTCTGCATCGATGAAGAGCTTTCATATGAGAAGTAAGAGTCAAACAGTTGTGAAAATGCTCTCTAGATGAGCTTGCATGAATGATAAATGTCATATTGCGCACTAATCTAACTATGCATGATTGTATGTATATGCCTTCCTGAAAACATGTAGTGTATTTCGAGAAATTTCTGTTTAATCATGGGCTTTGTGCCTTAATTTTCTTTTATGTCTGTTTAAATGTGAATAAAGAAATACTAAGGAATATTTGCCCCATATTGACTACGTTTACATGGACATCAATAGTTAAATTATTTCTCTTAATCTGAATTAGACAATGATATAATTAAGGTGTTTCATGATCCCGTTTTACATGTTATAGCCTTTTTATATTATAGGAACGCTTAACAAGAATACAAAAATACACAGAAAAGGTATAAATCCTTTAAAAACAAAAGTAGACAACAGAATAAAACAAAAAGAGAAACAAAAGATTATGCCAGGGGGAAAATAAATGACAAAAATCACTTTAAATCCATCTGAACGAGGTCACAGTATAAAATGTCACATAATACAGTCCGCTGGGTATTATAAAATTAGACAATACTGTAAGATTCACAGTGTTATTGATTTTAAAGCTTTAACATTACAATAAAGGCCTGCTTTATTAAATATGATGCAATGTGTGCGAACTAGATAAACCTTTTAGATAGAAGTAGCCTCTTTCTCAGGTTCCACATGGACTGTTGCAGACCTTTATCATTGACCT